AGGGGTCGCTGCGGGGGGCCCCCCGGTGGGCCCCCCAAGGGTCGCTGCAGGGGGCCCCCCAGGGGGGCCCCCAAGGGGGTGCCCGCGAGGAGTCCAAAGAACTTGTCGGAGGGACTTGGATGACAGCAAGAGTTGATAGGGAGCCTTTGTGGGCCCAGGAGGCGCAGCAGCAGCAGCTGCTGCAGTGGGGGGGGCAGACGGCCTTTGTGCTGCCGCTGCAGGTGAGCAGCAGCACCAGCTGCAGCAGCAGCAGCAGCAATATTGTTTTGGGATTTTGGAAAAGAATTAAAGGAATTAAGGGGCAGCAGAATGGAAGCAATGCACAAGAAAGTGGTGATTTTTAGTTGGAGATTTATCTTGTGAAAGGTTAATTTTAAAATAAAGAAAACAAAGGAAATGAAAATAGGGTTTAAGGATAATAATTTAATTTGGGGATTATGGTAAAGGGAAGTAATAATAAAATAAAAAGAGAAAAAAGGATAAAATGAAGATAAAAAAGGGAGAAAAAAAGAGCTAAAAGAATAAGATGGGGATAAAAAAGGGAATAAAAAGAGGATAAAAGGGGAAACAAAAAAGGAATTAACAGAGAATGAAAGGGAATTAAGAGAGAATGAAGGGGGGATAAATAGAAAATAAGAGGAGACTAAAGAGATGTTTAAAAGAAGATAAAAAGAGGGAAAGGAGAAAATAAAAACGGGATAAAAGGAGAACAAAAAGAGAATTAATTAAAGATAAATAGGGTATAAAAAATGAACAGGAGGAGAATAAAAAATAAAAAAAAGGGTAAAAGCGGAGTACAAAGATAATAAAAGAGGATTAAAGAGAGTAAATGGAGAATAAAAAAGGGTAAAGAGGAATTTAAAAGTTCTAGTAGGTAATAATAAGGGAGAATAAGAAATAATAAGGGATAATAAGTGATGATAAGAAATAATAAAAGAATAGAAGACAGTGGGCAGCACCAGCAGCAGCAGCAGCAACCGCAGCAGCAGCAGCAGCAGCAGCAGGTGCGCGTGTGGCGGGCGCTGCAGGTGAGCGACATGGCGTGCGTGCTGCCGCTGGGGCCCCCCGGCTCTGCGCTGCCTGGGAGTTTGCTGCTGCTGCAGTCTGCTGTCGATTTGCTGCACCTTTTGAAGCAAATCCGCGAAGTCCGCGGGGCCTACGGGGCCTGGGCCAGAACTCAAGATGGCCTTTTGGCCCTAATGACTTACAGAGACCCAAAGCCTGGGCAGTCTCTCGAGACCTTCAGGACTTCCGGGGTCTTTGCCCAGGCCTGGGCCTCGGGGGCCGCCGAGGGGCCCCCCGGGGGTGCCCCCGAGGCCCCCGCGGGGGCCCCCGGGGTGGCCGGGGGGGCCTCCGAGGGGCCCCCTGGGGCCCCCGGGGGGGCCCCTGGGGTCTCGGAGGAGCAGCTGCTGGGGGCCCTGCTGAATGCAGTGGCTCTGATGGACAAGCCGGTGGGCCTGGAGGCGAGGGGCCCCCGCGCGCTGCGGCAGCTGCTGGACGGGGAGGGGCCCCCCCACCGGAGGGCCCACAGGGCGCAGCTGCTTGCTGCGGGGGCCCCCGAGGTTGCAGCAGCAGCAGCACTTCTCAGCAAGGCCCTCCAGGGGGGCCCCCAGTCCCTCGTGCTTGTGGGGCCCCCCGAGGCCGCCAGCGAAGTCGCCAGCCACGGCGTGGGGGACCTCGCCCGCATTCGCGTCGAGTGAGCTAGCCAACAGCTAGCTAGCTAGCCAGCGGCTAGCTAGCTGCAAGCCAACAGCTAGCTAGCGTGCTAGCTAGGGAACTAGCTACCTAGGGAACTGGCCGGCTGACTACCCAGCTAGCCAGGTAGCTTTCTGGCCAGCTAGCTAGCGAGCTCGCTAAGTAGCTACCTAGTTGGCCAGCTAGCTAGCTAGCTGGCTGGCTAGCTAGCTGGCAGGTTGGCGGGCTGGGGGTTCGTTACGTGGGGAGTAATAAGGCGAGGGCCACGGAGCAATTGGCTTGAAAAGAGACAGAGACAGAGCGCCAAAAGAGCGAGGGGTCTAGCTAGCCAACAGCTAGCCGGCTAGCTGGCCAGCTAGCCAGCCGGCAGTCTGTAGAAGGCGCCGCAAGCTAGCTAGCGCTGCAAACGCAGCAGCAGCAAAACTGACAGTTTCCTGCGGGGCCGTTTTAGCGGCAGCAAACAGAAACCCGGAATTCTTGACACTTCAGCGCCCTGCTGCGCAAGCTAACTGCCAGCTAGCTGCTGGCTAGTTACAGCTAGCTGCTGGTTAGCTGTGGGGAGGTAGCCTTAGGATGCGTAGCTAGCTGCAGGCGTCGCACAGGCCAGGGCTCTGGAGCTTCGGCTGCTGCTGCTGCTGCTTCCCCAGGCAACGGTTGCTGCAGGCATTGCTGCAGGCAGCAGCAGCAGCAGCAGGAGCTAGCAGCAGCAGTTAGCAGCAGGCAAAGAAGATAAAAGAGCCTTTTAGAGCTGTGGCTGCACAGAAGAACCACCCCAGACACAAGGAGCCGCAGCAGCAGCTGCAGCGCAGCCCTGGGATCAGCAGCAGCAGTCTAAATAGGTAGTGTTTTAGCTAGCTAGCTTCCTGCATATAGCTAGCTAGTTAGCTAACTAGCTCGCAGCCTGGCCAGCTAGCTAGCCATCTGGCTATCTAGCTAGCACCCTTTGAGGCCCGGAGGGCCCCTGGGGCCCTTGCGAAGCAGCAGCCTACTAGCTAGCTAGCTGCCCAGCCAGCTAGCAGTCTGACTAGCTAGTAGCGTGGCTAGCTAGCTGACTGACTAGCCAGCAACAAATTACGTTTTTGATTTTATTTTTAAATTAAAAATAAATTTTGCCGCGGCGCGCGTTGCCCTTTAGAGTGTCTGTACAGCTGCAGTGTTAAACTGTATGCTGCTGCAGCAAAGCCCCACAAAGATAATTAAACAAATAAATAAGCACCTGAATAGTAAGTTAGAACAAATGAGTAACAAATAATTTCTATTTACAAATATATAAATTTACAAATATAAATGCATCTATATGCATCTAACTTGCTTCGCAACCGGGGGCTCGAGGCAGGCAAAAAAACGCTGGCTAGCTATGTGGCTAGCTGGTCCAGCTAGCAGCTAGCTGCGGCAGCTAGCTGCAGCAGCTAGCTGCAGCAGCTAGCTACGGTAGTAGCTAGCCGCGGCAGTTGCGAGCTGCAGCAGTTCCCCGCAGCATCTCGCCGCAGCAGCCAGCCACAATAGCTCGCTGCTGCAGCAGCTAGCTGCTCTAGCAGCTAGCTGCTTCACTGGCTGGCCGTCCCATTGGCTAGCCGCTCCATTGTCTAGCAGCTCCATTGGCTAGCTGCTGCGTTGGCTAGCAGCTCCAGTGGCTAGCCGCTCCACTGGCTAGCAGTTTCCTTGGCTAGCTGCTTCCTTGGCTAGCTGCTTCCTTGGCTAGCAGCTGCTGGATAGCTGCTGCTGGCTAGCAGCTAGCTGCTGGTGGCTAGCTGTTTGTTGCTAGCTGCTGGTGGCTAGCCGCTGCTGGCTAGCTGCTGGTGGCTAGGCGCTGCCGGCTAGCTGCTGGTGGCTAGCTGCTGGTGGCTAGCTGCTGGTGGCTAGCCGCTGCCGGCTAGCTGCTGGTGGCTAGCTGTGTTCGGGCCTGAGGGCCCAGTCCAGCAGCAAAGGCCCATCTGCGGGCCCCAGCAGCGGCACTTGCAAAGAGCGGATCATGAGGCTGCCGCAGAGGAGGCACTCTTGGGCCAGCAGCCCGTCGAGTGCGCTGCACACGCAGCAGCAGCAGCAGCAGCAGCAGCAGCAGTGGCTGTGAGGCCCCACACCGCTGTTCCTCGGGCCACACACGCACGCACCCCACTACTCCTTATTCTCTTCTACTCAACTGCACTGGCTCCCACGCACTTATCCGCGACGCTGCTGCTGCTGCTATGCTGCTGCTGCGCTGCTGCTGCTGCGCTGCTGTTGCTACGCTGCTGCTACGCTGCTGTTGCTACGCTGCTGCTACGCTGCCACTGCTGCTACTCTGCTGCTGCTGCTATGCTGCTGCTGCTGCTACGCTGCTGCTGCTGCTGTGCTGCTGCTGCTGCTGCTGCGCACTCTTCTAGGGCCTCCACCTCCGGAGAGTCCTCCTTAATTGCTGCTGCCAGCGCCGCCACGCTGCGGTCAAATCTCCCCAGCTCTTCCGTGCCTGCAAAAGCCCCACACAAATACCCAGGGGGCACACAGCCTCAGCCAGGGGCCCTCAGGGGCCCCCCAGGGGCCCCCCAGGGGCCCCCTCGGGACCCCCAGGGCCCCCCAGGGGCCCCCGGGACCCTCCAGGGGGCCCCCAGGGGCCCCCCACGGGCCCCAAGGGAGCCCCAGAAAGCCCCAAAGGCCCCAATTGTCCTACAGACTCTCAAGATCCCTAAGACCCTCAAGACCCCTCGGAGGCCCCTCTGGGGGCTCCCCTGGTCCTTAAAAGCTCTAGAAAGGCCCCCAGGGGGCCCCAGGGGCCCTCTAGAGTTTTGGGGGCCCCACCGGGGGCCCCGGGGGCCCCCAAGGGTACTTACTCATGGCGGGGATTAGAAGGGCCTGGACGCATGCAGCATGCATGCAGTGGCCGCAGCGGAAGGCGAAGAATTTGCTGCAGACAACTGCAGCGCCGCAGAGGTCGCAGAGCTGCCCCGCGTCGATCACCAGGCACCTGCGAGCAGCTTTTGGGGACTTTTCGGCTTTTATTTCAATTTTATTTAATTAATTTCATTTATTTCATCAAAGAATTAAAAGAAAACGAAAAATTCAACAAAAACAATAAAAATGAGCCTGCTGCTGCTGCCCCACGATGCGCCAAACAGAACGTGCTGAGCTGTACGTACACCCCATCTGGAGGCGTGGTCAGCAGCAGAAGCAGCAGCAGCAGCAGCAGCAGCGGAATGCAGCTTTAGGGTTTAGAGTTTAGGGCTGGTATTTAGAGCATGGGCGCGGGAGGCTGTTGAGGGTTTAGGGTTTCGCCTGCAAACTCTAAACCCTCAAGCAGAACCGTAAACCCTAAACCCTCCAGCAGCGTCGCAAACCCTGAACCCTCAGCCGTGGTAAGAAGCAGTACTTTTGATTGACAGCCTGCAGCTGGTCTTTCAAGTCCCTAATGGCGCTGAGGTGCTGCTTCAAGGCGTTGCTGCTGCTGCTGCTGCTGCGCTGCGCTGCTGCTGCTGCTGCGCGCAGCGCGGGGGCCACGTCTCGCAGCAAAGCTGAGTCGGGCAGCAGCGGCAGCAAGTCCTTTAAGCAAACACAGGCCAAACCCTAAACCCTAAACCCTAAACCCCAGCAACAGCAGCAGCCAAGTTCTCCCAAACCCACCGAATCCCTAGACTCCAGCAAGATGCAGCCCTAAACCCTAAACCCTAAACCCTAGCAGCAGCAGCAGCAGCCGGCCTCTCCTGGTGTCCCAGCCCGCCTGGTCCCTGGACCCAGCAAAGTGTAGCCCTAAACCCTAAACCCTAAACCCTGAATCGCAGCCTGACTTGTATATTGATGCAGTGGTTGGAGCGCTCAACCAGCGCCAGCAAAGAAGCCCCATCTTCCCTTTCCCCCTGCGGAAATCGCAGCACAGCAGCAGAAGCAGCAGCAGCAGGTGCAGCAGCAGCAGAATATGCAAGAGGCAGAGCAGCAGCCGCAGCTGGTTCAGTAGCAGCATGCTACCTCGGGCCCGAACGGCAGCCTACAACTGAAGTGCTGCACTTCGCTGCTGCTGCTGCTGCTGCTCCTGCTGCGTCGGAGCTGCAACAGCAGCCTCAGCCAAAAGCAGCAGCAGCACCATCCCCCCGCAGCAGCAAGAATAGTCGCAGCCATATTCGGCAGCAGCAGCAGCAGCAGTCCCAGCCGCACGCGTCAGAAGCAGCAGCCCGAGGCAAATGCAGCAGCAGGAGCAGCAGCAGCAGTGGCAGCAGCAGCAGCAGCGCATCAGCAGCAGCAACCGCAGCAAGGGGCGACAGCAGCAGCAGCGGCAGCAGCAGCAGCGGACCACGTAGCGGCAAATGTCTCCCCAAAGTCTCTTTTTTAAGACTTCGTCGCTGCAGCAAGCTGCTGCTTCTTCAGCTAGCTGCAGGTCCGAAGCAGCTAGCGCCAGCCTCACGGCTTCCTGCAGCGCAGCACTCAGTCAAACCCTAAACCCTAAACCCTAAACCCTAAACCCTGAATCCCAAACCTTAAACCATGAACCCTGAACCTTATTCCCTGAGCACTAAACCCTGAACCCTGACCCTAAACCCTAAACCAAGAACCCTAAACTCTAAACCCTAAACCCTAAACCCTAAACCCTAAACCCTAGGGCTTGCCTGGTAGCGCTTGAGGTGTACGTACAGCAAAACCACCGAACGCCACTTCCCCTTTGCTTCGCAGTGGCGTAGAGACACCAGAGCGTCGAAGTTGCCGCCGCTTTCCTGGCCACAGCAAAACCCTAAACCCTAAACCCTAAACCGTAAACCCTAAGCCCTAAACGCCAAAACCTAAACCCTAGGGGCAGCACTCACTGTGATGGCCGAGGCCAACTCCGCCTCGGAGTCGTCAGGGGCTTCCGCCAGCAGCAGCAGCAGCGCAGTCCCCACGCCTGCAGGTGACGCCCAGCTGCAGCAGCAGCTGTTGCTGCTGCTGCTGCTGCTGCTGCTGCTGCTGCTGCTGCTGGGAAGTCCGCTCGCCTGCAGCGAGCCTCCCTTGCCGAACGGGAAAACAATTCCTACAAAGAAGCAAACAGCTGCAGCAGTAGATCTCCAAAGACCCCGAGGCAGGCACCTAAACCCTAAACCCTAAACCCTAAACCCTAAACCCTAGGCAGGCCCTTAACTTGGGAGACAAGACGTCCTTACCGGGTTTGCTTGCATTCTGCTCAGTGAAATGCTTCGTGAGCTGCACGGCGGCTTTCCAGCACGCGTAGCTTCTGCTGCTGTAGCTGCTGCTGTTGTTGCTGTTGCTGCTGCTGCTGTTGCTGCTGGTGCTGCTGCTGCTCTGCTGCTGCTGGTCCCGTTGCAGTAGGACCACGGGCAGCATGAGGGCGGGCAGCAACCGCCAGGGCTGCAGGCCGCTGAGCTCCGGGCGCTTTGCTGCAGCAGCAAAGTGCTGGGGACGGTGCAGCAGCAGCAGCGGGGCGTAGGAAGCAAAAGAGCTGCAGCGAACCTCGGGATCTTTAATTGCAACAATTGCTTCTGCAGCATTTCAAGCAGCCCGCATGCAAAGTGTGCCCCTCAAGTGTACATACACCTCGCTGCGCTGCGCTGCCAGTGTCTGCTGCTGCAGCAGCAGCCTGCTGCTGCTGCTGCTGCTGCTGCGCTGCAGTGGGCCCACCCAGCGCGTCGCGGTACTGCGCAGAATTCAAAAACAAACGCGCGCATGCATGTTCGTCTCCAATCAACAGCAGAAAGTCCCGCAGCAAGCCGCTGCGGCCGCTGCTTTGCAGCAGGCCTACCACCGTCGCCTGCAGCAGCAGCAGCAGCAGCGCAGCAGCAGCAGCCAGCCCCTGCTTCCCGAGTCAACAGCAGCAGCGGGAGACGCAACGCTGCGGCCGCAGACGCAGCAAAGGCCCCACACGCGTGCAGAAAGATGCTGCACGCTAAGCAGCAGCTACCCGCTGCAGCAGCAGCAGGGAGAAGCGCGCAGCAGCAGCAGCAGCAGCAGCAGCAAAAAGGTTCATTCAGGGCTCAGGCGCACATGCAACTCATTGACATGCTTGAACTCGCTCAGCAGCTGCCGCAGGTCCTGCTGCGTCCGCTGCTGCGCCTCTTGCAGCGCAGCAACTTGGCTGCTGCTTGCTGCTGGTGCTGCTGCTCCCCCTTCTGCTGCTGCTGCTGCTGCTGAAAGCGGCGGCGAGGCCGCCCGCAGCGCCTCTGCGTCTAAGGCATTTAGCTGCTGCAGCAGCAGCCGCAGCAGCCACGCGAACAGCACCACTTGCTGCGGGGATGGCCGGTCCCCCGGCGCAAGGCTGCGCACCAGCAAGCACTACTCTAAACCCTAAACCATAAACCCTAAACCCTACACCCTAAACCCCAAATCCTAAACTCTGAACCCCTGTTGCCACTCGCCACTGACGCAGCGAGGAGGCAAAGCCTCGAATATGCCCTGTTTCAGCAAAGCCCTAGGGTTTAGGGTTTAGGGTTCAGTGTAAACCCCTACACCCTCCTAAACCCTAAACCCTAAACCCTAAACCCTACAGACTCACAACTGGTAGCTTCTATGCCCCATCTTCTGTGGGGCTGCTGCTTCCGCGAGCTGCTGCAGCTTGGCTGTCACGTACACCCGGAGGGCCTGCAGCAGCTGCTGCTCATGCTGTGGCAGCTGCTGCTGCAGCTCCAGCAGCAAGCAGCAGGCGTCGTCGAAGCCGACGCTGCAGCAGCTCGCCAGCGCAGCAGCAGCAGCAACCCACTCCTGCTGCAGCAGCAACGCTTTCGCTTTGCTGCGCAGCACTACTTCTCGCTGCTGCAGCGTGCGGCAGGCAGCTAGCGCCCCGGAGTAGTCATCTGTACGTACACCCCACACCCCACACCCCACACGCGGCGAGCTGCAGCAGCTGCAGCAGCTGCAGCAGCTGCAGCTGCTGCAGCAGCGTCGGGCTAAGGAGACTCTTGCTGCTGCACTTTGCTGTAGCGGCAGACGCCTGGATGACGCAGCAACAGCAAAAGCTGCACCAAGAGCTGCAGCTGCGGCAATTGCAGCAGCAACAGTTGCTGCAGCGAGAGTTGCTGCTGCAGCGGCAGTAGCTGCAGCAGCAGCAAGTCCTCTGGGGCCTCAGTGTGGCTTCATTTCATTTGCTGCAGCTCCAGCGCTGCTGCCACCTGCAGCAGCTCACTGCGAGACAGCAGCAGCTCCCAAACATTGGCATCTTCATGCTGTAGCAGCAGGTGGGCAGCGAACTCCGTGGTAAGCAGCAGAAGTCCCTTGCTGCTGCTGCTGCAGCTGCTGCTGCTGCTGCAGCTGCTGCTGCTGTCCTGCAGCAGCTGCAGCGCCTTCCCGTAAAGGTGCTGCGGCAGCGAGAGAGACATGCTCTGTACAGAGACCCCAAACCCAAAGCAAGGAGCAAAAGCCTTCAGCAGCAGCAAGGGTTCCCAGGCGCAGAAGCAGCAAACTCCCGGTGCTGCTGCAGTGCTGCTGCAGCGCTGCTGCAGTGTTGCTGCGGGTTAACAGAAGCTAAAATGCAGCCAAAGCACAGCATATGAAATGCAAGTGTAGCACAGCACATCAGCAGCACTGCTGCTGCTGTGCTGCTTTAGCTGTGCTGCTGTGCTTCTGTGCTGCTGCTGCGCTGCTGCTGGTGCTGCTGCTGCTGCTGCGGGCCCACGTATTGTCTGGAGATTTTGGAGTAGGCGATGACACAGTGTTCGTAAAGAAAAAGAAAATGTTTTGAAGAGACAGCAAAAGATAGGGGCTGCGGCCGCTGCTGCGGGTTGAGGGCGTCTGCTGCTGCTGCTGCTGCTGCTGCTGCTGCTGCTGCCGTGTAGTTGCTGCTGCTCGCAGCAGCTACCAACGAAGCTGGGGGCAGCAGCACCACCGCGGGAGGGAACGACAGCAAGTTGCCGCTGTTGCCCGCCGCCGCTGCTGCTGCTGCTGCTGCTGCTGCTGCGGGCAGCCGCAGCTCTCCTATCAGCAGCCCCACCCTGAGTCACACGCAGCACCCAAACCCTAAACCCTAAACCCTAAACCCTAAACCCTAGACACTAGACCCCCGATAAATTGGTCCTGCGGCTTTAGGGTTTGCTGCTCACGGAGAAAGCCAGTGAACAGTGAAGGCAGCAGCAGCAGCACTGGGGCCCGCGCTGCTGCTGCTGCTACTGCTGTCCGCAGCAAGGTAGCTGGGAGCAGCAGCAGCAGCAGCAGCGGCGGCGGCCCCTGCAGAGACTTCGTAGGCGACGGCATCGGTGATAGCAGCACGCAGGCTCTTGCTGCTGCTGCTGCTGCTGCTGCTGCTGAAGGCAGCAGCAACACCACCAACCCCGAAGAAGCAAAGCAGCTGTGTGTCTGTAGCCACCAGAACAGCCACGCGGGCATCAGGGCCCAGCTGCAGGCAAACTCCAGAACCCACGGCCATAAACCCTAAACCCTAAACCCCAAGCCCTAAACCCTAAACCCTAGACTCGACACAGGGGCTCCTGTCAGGCGTCGCTGGCCCGTATTTGACGGCGCGTCATCACAGCAGCTAGAGCAGCAGCAGCAGCAGCTCACAACAGCACAAGCAGCAGCAGCAGCAGCAGCAGCAGCAGCAAAACTCACCCCCGCAGAGACAACAGCAAGGCTTAGGGCTGGGGTTGCCTTTGGCAGCTGCAGCAGCAGCCGCAGCTGCCGCTCTTTGCCGCCGCTAATAAGGCACTCCATGACGCTGCCGCAGCGGGTTCCTGCAACAAAACCCTAAACCCTAAACCCTAAACC